ATATTGGCTATCCATACCCTCAGCCCAGCCGCATCGGGCTCTGGCGGGAGGTCTATGGGAATGCACTTAGTCGCAGCTGTACAGTGCGGATCATGATGGCTACTGTATCCGCCGCCACCAGTTCCGAAAAGATGCTGTGGAACCTGAGAACTACCGATTGACAGTGCACATACAGGACAAAGGCGAGTAGCCTTCGGAATGCAAATCTCACATGCCCTTTTCATGCATATCTTACATTCCCCAATTTTGCTGGGGTCAGGAATATCCCGATCACACATCCGACAGTTCTTGTCAGGAGGATCGGGGCCACGCATGGTCGGCGGCTCAAGGCCTGAAGGATCCTTCGGCCTCGTACCGTTGGGATCAAATCCTGGATAATATCCGGTTTCACGTTTATCCAGGGGCACGGGTTGCGTAGCCTTCGGAGGGCTCTGAAGGTCAGCCGCGTTGGGTTGACCCCCAGTAGGAGTGTCACGGAATCTGTCAACGGGTGGCCGCAGAGGCGGCGAGTACGACCGCGTCGGGTTCGTCTCAGGCGCGCCTCCAGGAGATCTATTCCTGACACGGTTACCATCGGGATCCCTTCTTCTCCTAGTTTCGTCCCTAAGGCACGCAAGACAACAGGGACCCTGGACAAATCCAAATCTCCTGTAGTCATCCTGCCCAGCGGAATGTCTGGTGCAGTAGTAGGTCCTACAAAACTGACACTCGATTCCCCTGGTCAGGAACGAGCTCTCCCTACAGACACCGCATCGGGGTCCGTTCCGGGAACATTCTTCACACAAGTTCTCTTTGAACGAGAAACAATACTCACAAATATCACCTCTGCATCCTTTGCAGTGAAACTCAGCCATGAGGTGATTATTTCCATCACCTACGTATTTACACCTGGGTTTACCAGGGCCGCCAGGGTTCCCACCGGCAGCACTCTTCTTCCCCCCTCCTCCTGGGCTTTGCCGATCTGGAGGAGGAGGTGGTGGAGGATCATCATCAGGACGGCCAGGTGGAGGTGGCCGCTTATCCGGAGTACGGGACGCGGCACGCCTTCCTCCTGTGCGATCGTTCAATCCACTACTTGATGCCTGGTTCGAGTGCCTTGACTCGAGGGAGTTAATTCTCTGGGCCGTATTACCCAGCACCTCGAGCATTTGCTCGAGCTTACTGTTGAGCGTAGTCGAAACGGCCATGTTATGAGTATTTTGCTTGTCCGTGTAGGACTTGCAGTCCCTTGACTTTATCTCAAGGTTGGCTTGTGTTTCATAAAGTTGGTCTTTAACCCACTTTATGCCGTCCCTATTATTGGTCCAGCATTGTTCGACATCCTGCATCATCCTATCAATCTGACATACCCTAGTGGACAGGTCCTCGATTTTGAGGTTTACTCCACCAATCGCAGGATGGTTGGACTGGCTCTCCACTAGAGATCTCTCGATCATATCAACACGAGCTATAAGCCCGGTTACTCGATCAGAAAGAGATTCAAAAACAGTTTGAACTTGGGTGATGGAGCGAGCAACATCATCATAGCTAGCTCGCTCATTTAGGGCATCGCCTATGCTTATCATGCGATTGGAAACGATCTTGACGCGTTGGCCAAGCTCGGTCACGATGTCCTTAGTCCCTTGTGACAGCTGCATGGCCGCGTTCGCAGCCTGCGTACACGTGCTATTCACATGGACGCATTGGTCGTATTTGGCCCTCCACGAGTTAACCTCAGTGGATAGCTGCTTGATGCATTGATCACTTCTATCATTCCTACGCCCAAGGTCTTCGACCTTAGCAACCAGGCGATGAATGATCGCACTTACCGAAGAGTCCACTCTCCCTCTTTCAAGGGCTGTTACAAGATCAGCAACCTCGTTGGGTTGCTCCTCACTCGCAGGACCAAATCCTGATCCGCGATCTCGAGGAGTGGACAAATCAACCATGATCGGATTAGATCTCGGAGGTGTCCTGAAATCATCTTGTACCGCCGTTGATGGCCGTGGGAATTCGCTCCGATTCGGAGACTGACTCTGATACGGTGCAGATCTTCTGGCATCACGAACAGCTGATGGCTGTGGCATGCCTAGACCCTTTGTCACAAACAATTTGGGAACTACCGGCCTATCAGTCCGCATAGGAACTTCAGGCTTCATATCAGCAATGACAACGTCATGCAAATCAGTCGCATTGGACGCTCTAGACTCAGACATTGATTCAACATCGGTAGCGCTGCTGACGGTGTTGTTGTGATTGGAACTTGATGCCATCATGGATTCAGACTCAATCGGAACATCAGCTCCGTCTGTGTTGTCAATGGCGAGAAAGGAAGCCGCATTGGGCGTAGGGCGAACAGGCTGTACATTCGGGCCACTCGACCTATTGAATTCCTCCTGGAATGCTTCGATCCCATCAAGCACGTTAATCAACGTGTCCGCGTTTAACGGATCTCTACCAATGATCGACGCTGGGTCACCTGATCGACCGCGCCCTGAGTCCCGCGTATTGGGGTTACCCCTATGGGCAGTTTCCCGATCCATCCCCCTTGCCCTATGCGATCCAGTCGAATTTGACCTTGATCGTTTGCTTGGGGTTGGACTGGGATGCAAATCCAATCTATCTACGATATTACGCTCCCTAGGGCTCTCAAATCCTGAAAGTCCTGGGGGAGGGGACATGTTCCTCATGGTCGGGTTTACCGACGGCCTTGGCCTGACGTTACGGCTGGCCACGTCAGGATTGAGATTCTCAATCGACAAAGGTAGCATGAATTCATCGCTTCCAGCAGCCCGTTTTGGGCTTTGGAATTGCGGGAAAGATGACGGGGCGGGTGGCCCTGGCATCCATGCGGCAAAATCCATACCAAAAATGTTTCCGTCGTTGGGCCATGAGGCTCTCCAATCGAGCCCACCGGATTCGGTCGGCAGATGAACGTCAAATGCAACTCCACTGGATGTACCAGGTTCGGGATTACCGAGCACTTGAAAAGCTATGCTACTGGTTGGCACAGGTCTACTGCTACTTCGAGAGTCACGAAACTCGGACTGACCAATATTCATCAGCTCCGGGAAAGATGAGGATTGAGCTCCAGGTGCAATACCGGGCTCGTCATCATCACGTCCTGAGACGGAATCATCATGGTCAGGACGATTAGCCCCATGACCCTGAGAGCGATTAGCTCTTGAGGCATTAGACGATAGGTCATCAGTGCGAGTAGCACTGGACCTTCCTGAAGGCATTGCTTCTGAAAAAGTGTGGTCCGACAAAAAGTCAGGACCGGAAAACATCGGCTGTCCGGGCACTTGGTCGTCATTCACAACGTCCAAGATTCCGGCCTGGCCGAGAACCCACTCATCGGTCACCACATGAGGTCCATCCTCGGTGATTCCCGCCATGAGTCCTACAGTAGCCTATGAAAAACGGCGCCTGCAGGGTTGTTATTAAATGGGGTTCGCGGTGCCAACCGAGGACGAATCCTACGGCTGATAACCTGCGAAAGGGTTTGAAACAGAGTTTCGGGATGGATAAAACAGGCCCTAACCCACCAACAAGAAGAGACCACCTTATTCCCCCGGTCCCAAGGGCAAAGCAGTTGCCCCCGGCCGGCACTAACACGAACCAAAAGGGGTGCCTCGTTGTAACAAGAAGGAACCAAGCAGAAGCGCAGCACAGCGCAAAGCAGGCAAGCAAACCAGCAGCAAGCAGCACCAAGCGAGCGAAGCGAGCAAGCGTGCAGAAGCAAAACAAAGGGCGACCTCCCAACTCAACACCCGACCCACCTCCACGAAGACCCGGACCACGGCCTATCAGCTCCGCGCACTTTTGCTTGGAGATGATGGCCAGTGACGCCGCGAGCGAGTGACGAGATGGCAGGTGAGAACTGCCGGAGATTAAACTTGAGCCAAATACCGCGTTGGGTAATGGCGTACTACAAACTGCTATGATAAAAGTACATGCCCCCAAAAACATTTTTTCAACCCCCAAGTACTACCCCCCCCTTGTGGGGTTGATTGGGGGCAACTTTTTAAACAAGAGTATGTAAAGAACTTGCAGTTTGGGAGCTGGGATTTTGTTGGGATTGCAAAAGCTAGATGATTGAAATCATAGGGAACAAGTTTCAAGAACAAATCGTTTAAAGATTGAGCCTTTTACTAAGAAAGCCTTTTCAAACACGAGTTGAGAATATATTTTTTTGGGGGGGGCAACCAGGAATCTTTATTTAGGGGGGCCTAAATAATGTTTTTTTCAACCCCCAAGTACTACCCCCCTTGTGGGGTTGATTGGGGGCCACGTGTTAAACAAGAGTATGTAAAGAATTTGCAGTTTGGGAGCTAGTATTTTTTATAGATCTGAAATTGTAAGGCAGGCGAGGCCAAGACCAAGTGGTTTAGATTATGCTAGCGTGTGTGTGTGTGTGTGTTGTTTGGTGTGCTTTTGGTGAGTGTGCGTGGATTCCCCACACAAAAAAACATAGCTTTATTTCGGGTGGGGGGGGGGTTATTAATCAGTGCCGGCCCACAACATACCTTTAATCGGGGGAGGGGTTTTAACATAAAGGTCGACATTATGCGTTGGAGGGGCCATCTCAGAGTTTTGCGTGGATTCGCGTTGCTGTACTCAACGATCTCCCAGCTTTACACGGACTGCCATTACGACGGCAACGAGAAACTATTCTGTGCGCAATCTCAAAGGCCAAAGGCCTCAGTCCGCATGCATGGCATGCGAAGCAAAGCATCTCAGTTCAGGAAGCAACTTGCCCGGGGAGTGTGGGTCCTTCAGTCACCCCAAAAGACACAAATTAGAAGAATGTGCTTGTGCAAGGGATGTGGCGACCTTTTTACTTTCCATGCCAAGGACTTCATTTTCTTCCCCACGTCCGCAATGATTATGATAGAAACAGCTGTCACATCTCTTGAAGTGGATTCTGACTTTTCCCACGCCGGGCCCGAAAAGCAGAAAGGCAGCCACAAGGCCTGAAGGGTCGAATTCGAAGGGGGGAAGCTGCAAATCCAAGCTGCGATGCTGTAAATGACGAGCAACATGATGTTGATCTCACCCACAAAGGGTATCGCATCTGCCCGCTGGGGGCACTCGCTATAGTTGGCGGTGTACGCTGGATGGCACGTAGCATCCATGTCTGCCTGGAGCAATCGGCAAAACACAGTTCGGTGGGCTTACAGGGAATGTGAGAGGAAGGCTGGTCATGCAGCATGAGCGTGGCTCTATCTTCAAATACCCGAAGCTCGAAGCGAAAATCATGCGAGCGGTCAGAGGGAAAGAAGACACCAGTATTCTCCACCGTGGGCAGGCAGCAAAAATATGGCAGCGCTTAGGATGTTCACCGACGACTGAGTATAAAAGTTGCCCACTAGCCGTGGTTCCAATATAAATCATGTGTGTTGGTCATTTGCGCTAGGAGGCCCGAACCATGTGACGCTACGCAATTCACAGGAATGTCAAAATGGGCGATGTCAGCCGAGAGACAACGGCACTACACCGCCACGCCCTAAGGAGCTCGGCTGCAAAACCAGCAAGGCTATGCCACATATATGCGGCACTTTCAGACGCATGAGAAGAATTGTGTGCCGTTTTGGCTTCAGCTGGTCTCTTCCTCACAAGAAGTGGAGGGCGCAGTCGGTAGAAGATTCGCAGTGAGCCCCAGGCCTCATACACGATGATGCCCAGGTTGAAACAAATGATCAGGCCCATGCATGTCTCGAAGGTTTGCGAGAAGACAACCTGAGCGCCGAGCTCTCCCTCAAGTTCCCTCCTTAACTCCAGCATTCTTGATGTTTCTTCTCAGAACATTCCCCTACAAGAAGAAGCCACGTCAACATTTGCAAGCACAAGCGATGTCGATCATCACCCCCCCCCTCCCCCTCGCAATGTGGGAGAGACTCCCATGTAAGTGGACCATCATCTGTGCTCTCTCCTGAAGCACGCACTGAGCGCAGCTCAAAAAGGAACATCGCTAAGCCCATGGCTTCCTTGCAGTGCAAATTTGTAAAGCGACTAGGAGCAATCTGGGCAAAAAACACACAACAACGTTGGTGGTGCTTGATTGCGCGTGTTACACTCCAAGGCAATCTGGGGGAGGGGAGTAATCGACGTGCTTGTCTGTGTGGGGGGATCGGTGAGGCTATAGCTGCCTACCGCTGCCTAGCATCTTAACGCCATCCAACATGCAGCCAACCAAGAAACGAAACATGCGCATACAGGACAAAACAAGCATCAGTGGTCTATTTGAAGAGCTTCTGGGCGACTTGTAGTCGAGGGCTAAAACGACCACTGCTTCCCCAACACTTCCCCAAACTCTCGCTTAAACGCTGCAGAGCACGGCCTGCTTTAAATTCCCGCAAACAAACTCCAGAAAGAAAGGTGGGTCCTGCTCGCTCGGACACAACATGCAGGACACTGCGACAAAAAGGGTCAGGTACACTCACACATCCTGCTTAAAATGCCAAGAAGATCGTGCTGTGCAAAAAGTAGCTGTTGTGTCAAGCAAGCGATGTACCTGAATCGGAGTTGCACAAGTTTGTTGCAAGGAGGTTCTTGTTCAATGAAGCTCCCAGTTCTTGCCTAAACCGTCTCCCCTGCGCTTCAACAACGACCGGCATGCAACAGGCAGCTATGCAAACGATCCGGCATAGCTGGCGTGTATGCGAAAAGGCGGCATCTCGTCGAATGATTCGAATGATACCCCAATTGCCCAGTCACCCTGATGCACAAAGAAGAACGGACAACTGGGATGAAAGTTGCCCCGTTTCAGGAACCTTGCTGGCAATTCTTGGTACATGTCGCCAGCGCAGCAATAGTAGGGGTTGAGAGGTAGAAAGGAAGGGGGCATGAGCTAAACGGCGTAAGCCAAGCAATGTCCAACTACAAACAACCGGACAGGCAACTGACTAAGTCCAAAGAAAACCCAAGGCATCGGGCTGGCGAACTTCCATCTGCTCATGAAAGTCGGGTTCTGCCAAAGGAGTCTTGACAGCTAACCCGAAACAAAACCTGGAGATCCTTGCAAAGAGGAGCTCTGCACAGGGGTGAAAAGGGTGCGCGCTGCTTCTCAAAGCTGAGTCTAACCTGACAAACAGGTGTTCAAGACTCAAGGCTCTCATAAAGCTTGATCTGCCAAGAAGCTTTTGCCACCATGATGCGGGACGGGCTCCAAACCAAGTTTCCTTAATTATCCAATCATGCTCATGCAAAGGCATCAACTGTGACATGCATTGCGTTTGGCTACTCCGCGAAACTCATCTGATTGCACTGCATGAAGGTGGCCTCTCGCAGCCAACTGTCAGTACTTGAGAAGGGGAGACGCGAAAGGTAGGATACCGTAAAGTGGTCCCCCAAATGAGTCGTAAAGTGGCTTCCCCGAATGTGTCCTCTGAAAGAAAGGAAGGTGCGCGTGGAGCTCGACAGCTTGAGCATGTTAAGAGGCAATTTCCGTTCCGCGAAAAATGGAAGTACGTGTTGACCATGTAAAGTGGGGCACTGACGAAGCGAGGCAGGGACACGGTGCACCTTGACTGGGTGCGAAAAGCGGACCGAAGTGTGAAGCGAAGCAAGCGAAAAGCGTGGCAAAAAACAGGATATTTCATTGGTTTTGCGGCCGGGCCGACCCCCAAACCCCCTCAGTCTAGCCTTGCTAACGCAAGAACAAACTCAAGCTACCTCCTTGAGGCTACCTTTCGTGACTAGCTGCCATTGACAAAGAAACAGTGAATGCTGTACTCTGCGTAACCTCAGCGATGCCAGTTGCCACCATGGCGCCGTCCTCGTCCATCCACGGTTTCCTCTTGTAGTGGGTATACCGGCCTTGACATCGAAGTTGGGGGCTGGTTGGGGATCCAAGCTCCGGGGTGCCAACACTGACACCTTGCAATTGAGCGAAACGGTGGTGGTGTCCAGTGGGCAAGATCACTCCAACGTTTGAAACACAACCACCATGAACAAAAGCCTATGTGGCGAAAGTAGGACATGAGAGCTACGGCGTCAACGCCCAACGCACCACCAATCATCTATCTGTATCTCCTGGCTAGGCATGCCCAGCCAGCAAATGCAACAGGCCATACCCCGATATACATTGAACACACACACACACACCTGCTCCAATCGGCAACTCCAACCGTTGCTGGCAATGCAATACCGGCAAATCGCTTCCCGTGAGAGTCGTGGTGCCACGGGCATCGCTTTCTTGGCCGGGCCACGACTCTTGCTGATGGCAGCCAAGGTCGTCTGCAAATGATCCACCTCCTCGAAGCTCAAACTGTGGTCCTCAGATACGTCTCAGACTCTTCGCTCACTCGGAGGGGGGGGGGGGGAAGGGGGGGTTGGGCTGGGGGAAGGGGGGAAGGGGGTATGTTGGAAAGGGGTTGATTTTGTGCAACCTGCTTGATTTAAGGAACTGATGTAAGGAATTGGTTTCGCAGGGGCAAGAGCGCGACAAACAGTCATCACCCAGACTGTTTCCAGCAAAACAGCCATACCCATCGTTCCCCAGCAAAAATCTTTGTCTCTGGCCAGCGTAGACGTCGATCAGGTTCCCCGTCAGTTTTTGTTTGTAGCTGCAGTGAAAGTATGCAACATCATCATGGTGTCCAATGTGCAGGGCACTGGTTTAGCATCCTTTGCGATTGGAAAAATCGAGCAGCCGGAGGGACACATTGGTAAATGCCAGAGGTTGGGCATCCTACTTGCTTTTGACATTCCGTTTCCTTTCACGCGCATTTGCGTCTAACGACCCCACTTCGTGGAGAACACTCTTCCTGAAATGATGAACAACTCCGCATGTGACCATTGCCAATCCGTGTACACATTACTGAAGCCAGTGCGTGCACGCGTCTGGAGAGACTGTGTGCCAGCATGCAACTGGGGACTTGCCCGTGACTGAAGGCAAATGGCACTTGTTCACGTAAGCGTGCGGAGATGTGCAGGGAGTGTAGCGATTGGGTACTCGCAAGAGCCAACTGCTGGCCAACGTTTCCCTCATGCGGCCGAACCAGTGGACAAACTGAATGTTGGCTCGGACGAATCGCTTCCGAAAAGGCTGCCTCCAGTTTGTCTCTAAGGACCATGCTTTGACATTCACTGACAGCGCGACACTGACCCAAATGAGGATGGCGGCAGCAAATCTTGTCACTGATGCCCCCACACACACACATGCACATACACACGCAGAGGGTCATCCTGCAGGTAAACAAACGGTGCTTAGTGGAAAGGAGACATGTCCAAATGCTGAAAAGGATGCCGGTCAAAGCTTATGGCAACCAGAGCTGGAGACATTTAGCACTGGCTTGGAGTCAGACCAAAGAGCTCCCATTTCAGTTGCAAATGGGCACGAAAGCAGTCACTTCCCTGGCTGAGTCCCGACCAGCTGTCTGCAGCACAGGAGCTGTCTGCAAGCGCCTGACAGACTCCTTCACCTCGCAGCTCAAATTCAACCCGACAGCCAGGGTTCGTATGGGAGATCCCATTTGGGTTTGTCTTGAAAACTATTGAACTAGGGGGATCCACAAAAGGCGCAGTGTTCTGTTTGCTTTCCCTTTAGACCAATTCGAAAAGGCCACCCAAACAAGACACACCCATTTGGATGTGGTGCAATTAAGCCATTTGTGGTCCCCCTTCTTTAGGAGGAGCCAAATCCAAAGGTCCAAAACTCACGTTAGCCAGGAATCGCGCGGAAATCAATGAGATCGCGCTACAGATCCATCTCACAAACTTTGAACCATCAGCCCAAGCCAACAGTTCTAACAAACCTGATTTAGACTCAGGACTAGCACCAGTCGAACTCAAACACATATGAGGACATGTCAGCGTTGTGCAGTGAGCTGGAACTGGTGATGCCTGCCCGCATGTTTCCCGACTGCGCAGCGGAGCGTTGCGGACAGCTACGTAGCTGAAACAGAGCAAGTCATGTGGGAACTTCGGGTGGTTGACTCACTTTTGCCACCACGCAAAAGAGGCGAATAAACAATGGCGGGCCCTGGCCCAAACTTCGCGCAAGTGCTCCCCTGAAACGGATGCTTTACATCGTGGTAAGGAACCAAACAGCATGGAACGCAGTATGCACCAACTTGGTACCAGATTGCCCGAAATGCGCACACGCATGGAACGCAGCTTTTGTTTCTTGGCTTGCGTGTTTACAAGGTGGCTCACTACAAATGCCACGAGGAGCAGGGGTTCACGACTTGCAAATACCAATGGCACACAACATCCACACGAAACTACCCCGCACCTAGTTTCAACGCCATTCTATTCTGTAGGAAATACTCAATTCCAAATCCCAACAGCAACGCAAGTGGCAGCGACTTTCCCAATGTGATTTCAAAGTCCGTGTAAGCCCTTCGCATGAAAGCGGTCAAACGTCACTGCCCTCTCATAGACTTCTATGGGGTATTCTGGGGATGTGACAATCGTACAGTCCTCTCACATGCTCCGAGGGTACACCTGCGACCAGTGTAAACCCTGCAGTTGAAGGGACCTGTTTTGATGTTCAGGGCAGTACGGTTGGCATCTTAAAACGAAAGGGGTTGCAACCTGCTCAGCAACACGTACGAAGATCAACATGAGCAAGGCACCGACGAATGTGATGGCTTCATCACAATTGGATTGTCTTTGTCTGCCTCCATTGCTCTGGTACGGGGTGAAACGCGTGCGGAAGCTTGAGATGCTGAGCGAGCGAAGCAATCACCAAATGCATCACAGTCCTCCTTCGCAAAGGCAGCCCCAAGGTCCCAAAGAAACTGAAAGACCCTTCTTGAAACGCCATTGACCGACATCTGTCTGCTTCTGTCTGGTTTTCCGCACGTCAGTCCTGGAATGGCTTGCGCTGACAGGCCTTTGGAGCGGCATGCAGTCGTGCCTCTTCAAAAAATATGAAACGCACACACACACACACACACACACACACCCACCCACCCGCACGCTCACCAACATGGAAGCCAAATAGGCCATGTCATCGGTTGTGTGATTGTGTGCATCTGGCGCCATGGATGACCACATTGCCCAAGTGGGGCCAAGTTGACCGGCTGCAGTGACTGCCAAGAGCTGCTGGGTCCTCAAGTCAAGAAGGAGATTCCTGAGGCTTCCCTCAAAAGGTTGTCAATTTGGGTTCTCTAGTCTTTAACTGAAGGGGCCTATTTTTGTAGGGGAAGGTCCTTTTGGCTTCAATCAAAACCAACCCGAAAAGGATATATTGCAAAAAGGGGCATGCTCATTCAGAAGGCGAATCTTGGTCTCACCCCAGCCAGGATAGACCAAACCATTCCCTCACAGCCAATGCCCCCAACCGGTATCTTAGCCATCAACACAAGCGTACTCACATGTAACCACGACATGACATAGAGTTTAGATTGGAAATGGACCTTGTGCTTACTGACATTTCTGCGCGGCACCCATTTCGAGGGCGCTCTATAGTTCAGTTAACGTTAAGCATGGCCCCTTCGGCAGCAGCCTGCCCGGGTCTGCAAGAACGAGCATTCGTCGCAAATGCGAATGACCCAAAAAGAAGACAAGTGCTCTCAAGGGTCATGCCCAGGAACATTGCCGGTGGATACAACAAATATAGCGCCTGGTTTGGGAACTCAAACTCCTGATTTATTGTCCGAAGTAGCCCTCAATCCAAGGTGGCATGGTCGCCAAGCGTCTGGTCCAACTCCTCATAGACCGCATCAAACTCCTGGCCAGACCGGCAAAAGACACGCCGATGTGTGGTGGGGTAGGGGAATGTCCCCTTTTCGGCAATTTCAGGGCACCCCCAGCTGGCAAGCTTAGCGTGAAGAACAAGCAAGTCCTTGGTGCCGGCCAAGAGATCACATGTCGAGTGTAAGCCAGAAGCATCGCATCATGAAAAGCTACCTGTCCAACCTTGAAGGCAGATCCATTCCCAAGTCCAACCCACCCCGGCAAAACAAACATGGAACTGGCACACCCGCAGACCCTGTCAGCCTGGCTCCATGTTGTTCGCTGGACGGTTCCCGAAATACCCCGAAATCACACCACCTCCCTCAAGAGGGTTCACTATGGTGAAAATCAAGGAGGGGTGGAGCCATTGTTTCTGGCGATGAGGATGTCCAAACACCCAATCAATTGGTGGGCGCCTGCTTCTGACGCTGGTCATCTTCCAAGCGCTGGCCTCAGAATGCGCAAGGGCCCGACCAAAATGCCCCGAACTTCACACCCCATCTGTAGTCTGGGCTGTTCAAGATGGGGAGGATCCCCAATCCTAAAGCGTACTCCGCAGGGGGCCCGAGAACTGCGGATTGACTTTGAGCAGCCCAAACCTGGTGGGTGCTACGCGCTGCGCTCATGGATATGCGGAAAGATTGATATTTGCATGCGCCTCCGCCGGCCTCTTTCGTTGCGCGCTGGTGACACGCTTCCAACGTTCATATCCCGTTCTTAGCCTGCAATGGGTAAAACATTGCCAAAGGCAATGGCAACCAAGATTCAGGTGCCCTGGTACCCTTGCAAAACCCAAAGCGTCCACAAACAACAGGTTGTGCCCAACTTAGAGGTTGTTTCTTTTTCCAATTTCCATTTCCCAAAAACCCAGCGCTTCCCAGTTTTGACCGAGCGGACTGGAAAGGGTCCAAGATGTTGACTCCAGTCGCCGACATTCGGCCGTGGGGCGCTCGAGCTTTCGGATGTCGTCACTGTTCTTGGCCACGTCCACGTCATGGGCGGCACTCTTCACCTGGGAACAGTTGGCGTAGGGTGCGATTTAGGCTTTGCAGTTCGGGTTGACTTGTAGGGAGCTGGGGAACAACTTTCCAGGATTTAGGGCCTGGGGTTGGTTGTAAGCCACTGAATTCCTCAAGTGCAGGTTGCACTGCGATTGAACGATACTTGCTCGGGCCGAGCATCCGATGCTTAGGGCTTGGGGACGCTCGCCCAGCATTGAACCCTGCACAACCCGTTGAAAGGGGTCTGCAAACTGAAACGGCTTCCAGATCGGGTCCCAGAAAGTGATGTGCGTCTTTTGTTTTCCGATGAGGAGCGCAGGGGTTCCCAACGCAATGCAGAAAGTTATGTGTGTCTTTTGTTCGCAGGGGTTCCTAACGCAATGCGCCAACCCCAAAATCATTTGGCCATGGAACTGATTTAGAGAGCTCGGGAACCCTGGGGTTGGCTCGAGCTTTGCGATGACGGGTTGAGCGCCCAGGACCTCGAGACTCAAAAAATACCAAACACAAACACCAAACGAGATCCTGAAAAACTACACACATGCAATCAGACTCCTTGATTCACAGAGCGTGATAAAGTGATAAAGCTATTCAATTGGGGAGCTGCGGGAAGCCTGACAAGTTTGCGGTTTGACAATTCAACTGGGAAGCCTTCAAGACACCAAGCCCATCAACAAAGTCAAGCCATCATGAACATCACCTGAACATTCAATGACCATGTTGGCTCCTGCCTAGTAGCACACATTCATAACAAATGCAAACTACAAAGCACGCCATGAACAATCAAATCTTGGCTTGCCAAGTGGTGAGCCCTTCCCACAAATTTGCAAGGCCAACCTGCAGCTCTGAGCCAAGAGGTGCGAGTCGTTCCACTTGGGTCTGAAATGCAAATCCGGGTGCCCGAAACGGGCCCAGTCTGCGCGTCAGTAGGACCGGTCTCAGTCAATCTCGGTCCCGGGCCACAAAACAAGCGTGACTGTTTTTTAGAACCTCCGGCCGATGAAAATGTGCGAGTCATGGTCCAGTTGGGTTCATTGAGCTCTGTCTTTCGGCGCATGTGTTGACGAGAGCCACGTCCTGTTATCCAAAGTGTTCCTGTCCAAGCGGCGGTAAGGCTGTTCACCTCATCCCGGAGCTTGCTGATGTCTCTTTTTGACCTCAGCGAGATGCCGTTTCCACACCCGGAAGGCCAAGCATTCAAGGACCCGCTGCAATGGCAAAGGAACAGCCCAAGCGCACCACGCGATGCGGGGGGAATACACCCAAACAAGCAGCTGACAACATGCCGAAGGCTCCGTGCAGTCCCCGCGGGCTCAGGAAGCTTCAACCCAAACTGCCGTGCACGCTCACTTCCTGGAGCAACAAGCTCACTTGTCCAAACATGAGCAATCAATGCATCAGGTTGCGAGCCGACCGTTGCCAAGAAGCCATCAAGTTAGTGTTTCAAGGTTGGGCCGGCACCAAACATCTGAGCTTTGCTTCACTCAAACCATCAAGTGTTTGGACGTTTTCTTCCAAACATCCCAACTGGCGTTGCTTTCAACTGCAAGCAAAGAACGTCGAGCGCAAACTGAGGGCTGTGATTCGCAGCTTGTCCATGGGCCATGGAAGCAATTAACAAGCGCCGTTCATCCTGTCTGGCTTCACCCACAACAGAACAAACACATGATTGCAAGAAGCCTATCTTGCGATCCTCCAGTTGGTCCAGGCTTCATGTGTTAATCAGCTTGAAGGAGTATCCAGGAGTTAGGTTGTCTCCTTGTTTGTGGTCCGTGCGCCCACGTGGCAGTATCACAAGTACCTCTTTACAACAGGCCCTTCGGCTCCGGCTAAACCGTGTTAAACTATGACACCATGGCGTTGCATGCTCAAAGACTTAGGGAGACAGTTGCTCTCCATGTCCTGCGCTACCCAACCAGAGAGATTCCACGTTCGGCCTGAACACTTGGCGCACAAAGCAATAATCCCTTTGAACATCACCAAGCCAGAATGCAGCTTAGCAACTCATTTTAAGTTGTCCCACAAGGTGCTGAAAAAAAAAAAGGGAAACCAAAGGGAACCCCCTTTACAACTCCATTGGCTGTCGGCTTACCTGGCGCCTCCCTGGCGCCTCGGTCTGACTCGCGCCCCTTGGGCCCCTGGCTCACCACTGGCGCCCTGCAACGCAGCCATGCGCAGCTCGAGGGCGTTCACTGACTTGGCGCTGTCCTGTGGGCAAGGGTTGTCATGTTGGTGTCCCAATGAAAAGGGGTGCGACAGCCATTTTGAGCTCCCATCAAGTGCTCCACACGGCGCGGGAGTGAGGTTGGTGTTTGGGGGCTTGTTTGCGGTTTCCCATTTTTAGACACCCCAAGAAAGAGTAAACAAGATGTGGCCAGGGGATGCCAGGGGATACTAGGGGGCGGTGTGCTTTTTGCTTGTCAGGTCGCGGCCACCTTGTGGTTGGAACATTGTTGACTCGCCATAATAATTGTTGCATTGCTTAAGTGTTCAGCAGGTTGGGCAAGAACAACAACAACTGCAACCAGGTCTCTTGTTGCGTCTGGGCTTGCCAACGCCTCTCAGCTTTGGGGTAAAGAAACGAGGTTGTGGCGGTTGGGGTTTATATATATATATATATGGCTTCAGGGTTCCGGGTTTGTGGCTTGCGGTTTTGCGGGCAGTTGGTTAGGTGCTCCTTGGCCGTCTTCGAGTGCTGCTGCTGCATGGCGTCCATGCGCTCGTGCGCGGACTTCTGGAGGTCTTCGCCCTGAACGATGCTCGGGGTAAGCCACGGTGGAAACATGCGTATCAAGGACATGGGCGAATTGGTGAACACCCCTTGTTTGCTCTTGCGGGGCGACGTGGTGAGTACCCCCATCCCCTCCCAAGTTTGCAATGAACCACTGGATAGTTTGACCAGGCCTCATGACTTCAAGTTCCGCAAGCCTCCAAAGGTCAAGACCAGATTGTCAATTGTCCGCATGTCGGGCGCCCCAAGGAGAAAGCGTTG